CCGCCGCCACCACCCCCGCCGCCACCGCCACCACCACCACCACCACCATAACTGTAAGTAAACATCAATGTCATATGTTGCGCACTTGCGGACCCAGAAGCCCCCTTCACCGCCACAATGCGCGAGAACGCAGCATGTCCCACTTGCAACATCTCAGCTTGCAGTTTATCAGAGGCCCCGCAGCAAACCTCAGGACCCATAATGTGTGCGAACTGGTGGTTTTGTTCACAGAGAGCAATTGCGAATGAAAGCGCATGCGATGAGCTTCCAGCTGCAGCTGAAACTGTAGGTGCTGCGATGCCTGCCCAAACATATTTCCGTGCAAACAGCCATTCCATTTTAGAGGCGAGACATGGCTTTCGTAAAGGCAAAAGCTTTCGGATTACAACTGTTTCGAGTTCGCATGCTGTTGTCGACGATATCCACTGCACCATGTTGGAATCCTACATGTCGGGACACTTGGGGAAACCTAGAGTACATGTCTGCTGGACTAGTCCACAACATATCCAGGCCAGCAGGAAGCAGGCTTTCTCAAGATGGGTTTCTTCAACCGTCAACATGTAACATGTCCCCCGTATACCATAACGCCACACCGTGTCTCAGAAAGTTTCGGCACCTGCATCAATCGCGAAGCCTCTGCCTGGTGCTGGCTGCTAGCATGAGAATGTGAGAGCCGAAACCCGAAACCCTTAAAGACCTCCAAAATCCCTCGTCCTAAGACAGCAAACTCCAAAATCGAGGTAGAGAAGAATCCTTAAATCCTACACCCGAAACCCTAAAAAAGGCGAAGCAGCCCTCGCCCCTTATGTATAGCCCAGAAAAAGAGGACGAAGCCGACCTGGATGTTCAGCGTGAGATCGAAATGGAGCGGCTGGCGAGCGTGGGGGAGGACGGTTTAGGATGTATAGGGTCTGTACTGGTTCAGGGTTTATAGATTATAGGATTTTTCCTCAAAAAAGTGTGCTAACGCTGTGGGGTTCTTGCCGTTCCAACTAAAGAGAATTGATGCTGGCCTTTTGCAGCGCTCCTCGAGACGGAGCTCCCCGCGTTCTATTGTTTCTGCAAGTCGGGTGCCCGCGTCCGCGTGTCCGGCTCTGGTGCGGTGCTTATAGGTTCGGCTGACATGATTTTATTAATAGAGAATTCGCCAGCTTCGCGCCCCGGGGCTAGGATTCATTGGAAATATCGTTTGTCCGACATGGACCACTTCTTGTCTCGAAACCTTGAATCGCAGCAGTACCTGGGGGAAGCGATTTAGGGCGTTCCTCTGGATTTGGCAGCTAAGGCAGGGAAGCAGAAGTTCCAATGCAGAGGCACTTGGATGAAGACACTTTCGCAGTGATCCTCCAGCACCAGTACTCGCAGTAAAGCGAATTCGTGGTGCTCTCGACTGTTGCTGAATCCCCAGTACTTGGGGGAAACCATTGGGGGCGTGGTGCTCCATGCGCCAGTACTTTGAGGGAATGCATAATCGTGGTCTCCTGATGCTGTCCTGGGGTCTCCTTCTGGTCTCCCGCTGGTGATCTCTTGGTGGTCGCTTGCTCCTCTCCTTTTGTCCTCGTCCTGCTCGCGTCGTGGGTGGTTTTGTGATGAGCTGCTGGTGTTCTCTTAGTGCTCTCCTGGTGCTTCGTGGTCTCCTGGTGGCTGCTGGTGTCGTGGTCGTCTCCTGGTCGTTGCTCGAGGAGAGCGCTGGGGCCGGCGTTTTCAGTTCGGACTACTACGGACTACTTACGCGGACTGCCTCCCCAAGGCTCGTGGTTCCGGTGCACATGGAGTGCGCGGAATGTTTCCCCAGGGCTCCTGAAACGCTGCATCGGGCCTCCAAAACTGCCATCTGCGAAATTTTGCGAACACAAAAGAGTACGCGGACTGCGGGGCTGTAGGAGTCCAAATTGATGTTCAACAGTTTGCGAAGACAACTGGAATGCAAATGTTGTGCACGGAATGTCTCCGACCCTAAACCCTGTGAGCATCGTACTCAGCCATGCGAGAGGAGAGAAACAACGAAAAACACAGATGGCAACTAGTTGCGACCTGTGTTTTCCCGAGCATAGCGAACAAACAGCCTGGCGGTGACTTCCTGCTCCTAAATAGCATGCTTCTGGCGTGGTCTCTCTCGCTTTTTGGTGATCTCCGCTGGCAGAATTGGTCTTAGCAGGCTTTTTGGGGATTATCGGGCTTAGGTTTAGGGGTAGCTTTTTCGGGCTTGGGAGTGCTAGGGTTCAGGACTTGCTGGAGACTATATTTTCTGCAAGTTGTAAAGATCTTGATGGTGCTTTCATGGGATCATATAGGGTGTCAGGAGACTGTAATTGACAGGGTGTTTTCGACGGCCCGTCTGAAGACTTCCTTTCAGCCCCAGGTGCGTGCAAACCAATGGGATCACCGGATGAATTTGGTGGAATCCTGGCGCTTTTCAGTTTCATTTCCTTTTCATTTCGAAAAACCCTAAACAAAAAAACACCCCAAAATATCGAGTGTCATAATACGGGAGGAATCCTCCACCCCGAGACGAGCCAGAGACTCTGTGTTGCCTTTCTTCGGCAGCCAAGGCCCCCGAGCCCAACTGGCAGGAGTTTCACCTCACGCGGCTTCGGCGCGAGGAGCTTGAGGAGCACCTTGGGAGGCGCCAGAGGCGAATGTTCAACTCCGACCTCCAGGCACTGAGCCAACGGGATCGAGCAGAGTTGAAGCTGGGTGCAGGAAGAGTAGAGTTTCTATAGAGCCAAGCTCGGGAGAACTTGAAGATCTTCGTAGAAATAAGTCGCTGGTAGACGAAACGTGTGTTCAGCTGCAGCTGCTCCTCGCCGATTTTTCCACTCAGGATTGTTGAGCAAATCCTGGAGCAAGCCTTGCAGTGCTTCCGCGAGCTGGATGTCGCTTGCAAGGAGTTGGAGGCAGCCTGCGCCAAGGCCTCCTCAGTCAAGTTCGAAGCCCTTAGCTACAGCAGAGTATGATTCATGGCCCTAGGGCTAGGGCTGGTAGACCCATGAACTAACGAGCCTGATGCACCTTCTCTGAGCATTGCCAGACTGAACAGATGGCACACACGACCTGGAGCCTTAGGATTGAGGGGTTTCGGGTTTAGGGCCAGGGTTAGGGTGTTGGGTTTAACGGAAGTAGCATGCAACAGGTGATGCCTTGGGGACATGATGCTCTTACTGTCAATGTAGGAACGGTCTGATCCCAAGTCACTAAGTCGTACCCCTGCAAGTCGTGAGGACGAAGCTAACGAGATAGAACTCAGCAGGGGCCCCAGAGCATGGGGGTTAATGACATGTCAGATGCACACGGGTGAGTTACTGGTTCACGCCCGGGTCTATTTACGGAACAGACTCCTCCGAGCTAAGAACGAGGGCCGAATGCTAGACTTCGAAAGCTTCCGAACTTCGCTGCAGCCTGAAGAGTTCGTTTGCTTGCAGGGTTTTGTTCGGCAAAAACCGTTCAGAGTAAGACCTCTCCAGCCTGGAGCCGGTCGTCCCAGTCCCACAAACGGACTGCTATAGGGGCCTAAATCACCAACACGATTTTGGGGGTTCCTTATTGGAATAGAGTACAATAGTTAAACCCCAAAACCTGCCTCTACTTTGAAGGCCTCTGTTCTACACCAGCAAGTGCATATGGGATCTGCAAACAGAAGTCCATTCGTGTTGTTCAGATGTAGTTTGTTGGAATAGGGCATTCGTGGACTAGGACACCAAATTATTGTAGTAGTTGCCGCATCTCTGAATAGACGGTCCACAACCTTGAGCTAATTTCGTATTATACGATCCCGCTTTGTAAGCTGCATGGCCGTAAAAGCTGTCACAAGCTCGGGCACGCGTCGCGAAGAGGCTACCCTAGGGCATTCGTTCGAACGGCGTGCAGGCTAGCTGCGGCAGGGCGCGGCAGGTCACCCCATCACATGCCGACGTTCGAAAGTTTGTAAAGCAGAAGCACCGGAGCTCTCCTCAGACATGCTTGTAGATCGAGTTTTCTAAACAGTTTTAACAGAGAGCCGACGTCTGAGCATTCGACAAGGAGGCACGATGCCAGCCTTCCCCCAAACCAATGCTTCCTGTTTGTGATGGTTAGCTGTGGCACGGCCCTCATGTTCCTGTAATAATGTTGGATCCTTGAGCCTGGAGCCTCGCCCGCCTTGGGCGAGCGCCTTGAGCGAGAGCCGAAACCACACCAGCCAAAGACCGGTCATTCTGTGCTTCTGGACGCTTCTGCCGCTTAGGCCGTAGAGCCTTGGAACACCATCGAAGCTTGGCTTGGGAGAATGCGTCGCCTTTGCATGAGTGAGCAAGCCGGTGAGTAAGTTCAGTCAGTGAGAAGGAGTGACAGATCGACTGGGAGGGAGAGAGAGACGTATGCCGCATGTGACATGTGTGTGTGTGTGTGCGCGTGAGTTTGTGTTGTGATGTGTCTGTGTGTATGTGTGTGTTCTTCATGTGAGTTTCGTTCGCCGCACACTTCGGCTTCATTTCGAGAACCTGCGATCTTCGAAAAAACCTCCACAGAGGCATGAAGAGGATGAAGTGCGCTTGCGTGACCAAGGCTCGGGTTTGCAAGAGCAATGGTACCGCAATGGCGAAAATTGCGCAAGAGAACCCTTTTTCGAAGAAACTCTTACTGAACCCACTGTAGAATCCGGAGAGTAACCCTCGTAGGCTCCGTGATAGTAGCTCTTATGACTCAGGAGTTATTGGCATGACGGTTGTGGGCGCCTCGATCCACTTCTCGCTGCTGGCACAGCTGAAGCCCGAGGTGGTTTTGGTTGAAGAAGCAGCCGAGGCAAGGGTGCGTGCAAGCAGGTAGCTGCATCCTAAAGCCCTACAGACCCTGAGCCTTCTGGCGGCTGTCGGTTGCTGTATGACTTTGACAGTTCCGATTGTAATTTGTTGCGACTCTGGTAGAGATGCTGTTGCCATAATATTATCTTAGAACTTGCCTCGTCGTTCTATTCATGCACCAATCACCAATATTCTTGTTTGCCTAGCGGGACCGCTCTTGACTGCGAGTGCCAGCGTTAGCGGGCTGATGAGAACTTGAGTCGCAGTGCGACACAAAGACCCATCATCATCATCACCACTGAACCATGATGATCATCATCGTCGAATCATCGTTATCAACATCATCGCACCAGGCTACTTTCACAAGCTTTCTGGGTCGTCAAAAGCATATTCGTGTTTGCTGCTGCTTGCGGCAACTTTCATTCTTGCGGTTCGCAGTAAACTGGTATTTACCACACCTCTTGGTGGCACTCCACGGGCTCCCTCTCTGGCCACATCCGAGTCCTAGGCTTTCCGCGCCTGCGCATTGGCACCCGAGGTACTGGAGCCACAAATTCTGGCAGTTCTTGGACCCTGGGTCAAGCCCCTTGTCTCCCAAACAGAAATTCGGCTTTGAGAGGGACCACGACGACAAAGTCAAGAGACGCCTTGGAGTGAGGATGCCATTTTCTTCAGGAGCCTATGTTGAAATTAGTCCTGGACTGCATATGAACTGCATAAAGTCGCCGAGGCAGCTGATCATGATCGGAGACACAAGTTGCTCGGCAAAGCAGTTTCAGTAAACAAGCTTGTTTGGGCTCTCAATTACAAGCTCTCAGGCGACGTCCCTGGTCATTGCAGGATCCAATATGACAGTCTAGTAGATTGTAGGAGCCGCCAGGAAAGTTGCGGTGAGTAGAGAGCCTTCAGCACTGCGTAGACGCCTTCTTAGCCTCCAAGATCAGCTGCCGCCGCAGATCGAGACCTTTAAACTCAAGCGGCAGCTTGGCTCAGCTGTTGGCAGGTTTGTGTCGGATTGAAGGTTTGGAGTTTGCGGCTGGTTTAGAATGTTATGTTCTTCCGCAGCTTAACTGTCCCAGACAGCACCCTAATATCTCGCTCGCATCGAGCAGCAGTAACCAAGGAGCTGCGCCGACAGGGAATGCAAGCGAAAAAAGATATCAACAGAAGCAGCAACAGCATCAGCACGGCAGCAGCAGCAACAAGAAAAAATATGACGGCGAGGCCAACGAAAAGCATTTAACCGACAACGACGACTGCAGTGGAAGCAGCACAAGAGCAGCAAACTGAGCAATAAGGCTGGGAGCAGCAGGGACAAAAACACGACCGACAATGCTGATGTGAGAAATCATGACAACGGTAGCAGCAGCACCATTTGCAACAACATGCCCTAATATGTCCCAACATGCCCATGCGGTTCGTCAGGGAGCACCACTTCGACGTGAGCATGATGGAGCGCCTGATTCTGAATCGTTTGGAGAGTGTGCAGCTGTGCAAGCAGAGTCGAATGCTTCCCGATCTGCGATCCCTTCTGGAGCCGATCTACCCAGATCTGTTTCCTCGGTGCACATTAGAGTGCTTTTCATGGTCCTAAATCCTGACGCGTTTTCGTTGGTTGTTGGTTCGCAAGTAGTTGTTCTGTCTGACGTGCCCCGAAAGTCAACTCAACAATGCTTGCTCATGATTGTTGGACCTAGAGCAGACAAAAGGTGTGACAATGTAAAGATGACGACGCACTTGAAGGCCCCAGAGTGTGTTGCATCGCCCGTTTTCTTCTGGGATTGCAGAGATCCGGAAGCCAGCAGCGACCGCAGTCTCGTGAACGAGACTGAGCAACTTGACTTGGAAAGCCCTACCTGGGCCTGCCTCTCAGGTCTCAGGGTATTCGGTGCACCCCACAAACCCTCGTTGCTGAAAGTTGCTAGTGGAAGTAGGTCCAAGTAGGTATAATAGTATAAGGACAGCCCCACATCCTCCATGCATACAGGTGCGACCGAGCAGTTCATTTGGCGGCATTCTTCATCTCCGAGGGTTTTGCCCCAAGCGAAATCACCCTGCTGGCCCCTTATGTAACCTGCCGTGGCAACAGGAAGAGCTTTGTATCTTTGGGTGCAACTTGGGTCGTGCTAGTCGGACTTTAAAACCATCCGAAACCTGAGGCGGGGCAAGTTTCTTTGCTGAAGAAACAACTGGCGAGAAAGCTTCCGGAGTTGGTCCACACGCAGCCAAAGCAGTCCAAGGATCTCCCAGTGGTGAGCTCGGTTGACAGGCCAGAGAGGGAGGGGCTTTGGTCCGAGATGTTTGGCACCAGGCCTTCTATCAATCCTACCATCTATTGTCGGCAGTTGGGGTTGAGGTTTTACGACATTGGGGTATCAGGGCTTTGTGAGCCTCTCCCGTTTTCCGACAGAAGCAGGTATCAAGGCGCAGAGAACTCCATCGTCATTGTCTCCTTGGTCCGGTCAAATCCGAATCGGAAGCTTGGGTTTTTGGGCTGGGACGATGGAAAGCGACGGATGTGCGTGGCACAGTCTCGGGCCAAGCGTGGCTTGGATGTGTACAAGCGGGCTTTGGCAGGAAGTGTAACAGCGTGTTCTAATCTATAGAGCATCGTACTACCATCGTACTTGCAAGCCTGTCGAAGCCTGGCCTGTCTGAGAGTGAGCGCCGAAATACCAAGGTGGCCTCTACTTCATTGGTAACGCCGGCTGCCTCCGGAATGCGCCGCACTGGGGAAAGTTGCTGGAACTGCTTACGAAAGCAAAAGCTATTGGGCCTGGATTCCCTCAGCGATGCCCAAGGCATCCTGACATCCGCAAGGATGCCGAAGATGCTGCTGGGTTGTGGATAAAGGGCTGTATCCACACCGCGCATTGCCTGATCGATGATTCCGACGATTCTCTGTGTATGTACGCCCGACCTTGCGACAAAAGCCATGGTGTCTCGGCATGCTTATAGCTTGTGTTGCTCCGAAGGTCTCTACACACTAAAAGGTGCCAGCAACCGTGTCTTGTTCATTCCCATGTAGGCAGCTGGGTGCGCTGTTTTGATGACCGGAAGAGTGTCTTCACGGGTTTCTGTGCACAAAGCTTCTCCTAACCTGAGCCCACCCAGCCCCACACCCGTTGCCGAAGGATGTGTTCATCATAGAATCAATTAGCTTAAAGAGGTTTGAGAAGCAGCAACAAAGCAAGACATGAGCTTGCAGGCCTTCTTGCCGTGGAAACGTTAGAGTGTGTTCACGCAGTTCCCGTGTCCAATAAGAAGAGACTTGTTCTAGCCCAGGAGGCGGCCCGGAGGACGAAGGGAGGCCGCTCAAGAGCCGGCGGTGTACATAATTACATAAGCTTCAAAAAGACCAGGGTTCAAGTTGGAGCGACATGTTTCGGGCTACTTCGGACAACTACCTCCAACTTAACCTCGAAGGTCAAACTCCCTACACTTTAGAGTCTGGACATGTCTGGACGTCCGGACGCAGCAGGGAGACAAAAGGGAGCCTTTGAAACACTGAGGATGAGTCCAAACTCTAAAGTCCGGAATCCTTCAAAAAAAGGGGCCTAAATAATTACCTATAATATATTTTGGGGGTTCCTTATTATAATTATAGTAGAATGGGCCCAAAAACCCTTATTCTAATTATTTAGGCCCCTACATTAGTCGCGTGCCCAAGAGCCGGTCCTGCACCGATTCGCCGGCTGGCCGCGAGTGAAGCCACAGCAAAAAGCAGCCAAAAAAGTCGGCCCGCTTGCGGGTTACATCTGCAGACCTTGGTTCAAAACGGTTTGCCTTCAGTTAAAGCATGAGTCTATATTAAGCTTATTAAACTGTATTCATAATAAGAAAACCCCCAAAAAATAGTATTGGTGCTCATTGTTGAGCCTTCTGAGTTTAGCCTGCGCTGCGGCTTCAAAGCCAGGGCTTCGGCTGGCATCGGGCGGCATAGGGCATAGTAGCTCGAAAAGCATTATAATACAAACCGGTCATGCAAAGAGACCCGAAGAGGAAAAGCACGAATGTGGCCATCTCCGAATTTAGTGTTATTTGCACAAGGCACTTTGCGACAACATCCTAGTATGAGAAGGCCGGTTGCGAAGAACGGCGTATGGAACTGCAATCAAACAATGCCAACGATGCGACAGACCAGAAAAGCCCGTCGCCCATCACCACCTAAGCATGCACGCAGTGAGGATTCCCGGACTGAGTAAAGCATTATTGCCTTAGCTGTTCTCACAATCTATGGGCCGGCGTGGAGATGTTTGCTTTGGGTCTGGGTTGCATAACCCGGCCTGTGCCAAGAAATGCTCCTCCCATGCCCAAGTAAATAGGGATTCACCAGCGCTTGCATCGATACTTCTTCAGGCCACCATATTTTGAGTGCTGTTCCACAGAACCCTCTCAGCTTGCATTTCGATTTTCTGAAGCACGAGCCAATCAGTCTTGAAAGCTTTTCTGTACTGTTAGTTTGCCCGAACCTCATTCTGGCAGGCCCGCAACAAGCTGTGCTTAACAAATCCTAAACACCTAAACCCCTGATGCTCGAAACCTTACACCCCTCAAGCCCGAAGCCTTTTCCTCGGAGGTGCAGAAGATCATGCAGATGGGAGTCGCCACGAAGCCCGAGTTCAAAGGGAGGACAGATCGAGTTTAGGGTTTGGGAGGTCAGACAACGTTTCCAAACTGAGGGTCGGGTTAAGGGTTTAGGGCCTTGAGTATGAGACCACCTTTCCAAACTTACTTTATGGAGGGTTCGGGGAAGTAGGCCTCAGGGCCTTGTTAAGGACTCCGAGCATGAATTTCTTTGTTGTGACAGGTCTTCGGTTTCGAGTGCATCGAGTTCCAGCACATTCTGGCATGAGGTCACCGGCAAGGTACTTCCCAGGCATGTATGTTCAAGCCAGGAGGGACCATATCAAAGTCACGCGAGAGACGAGGGTGCAGATGAAAGACCTGCCCATGCTGCCGCAGCCCCGGTCATCAGTCGTCGAAATCCAACCTTGGGGGCGCTCCAAAAGGCCAGCTTCTCTCAGCTTGTTATAGAGTGTTTTGGACCTCATGTAGCGCATTGCTCTTCGTTTCTCTCAATTGATAGTCGTACCCTGACCCTAGAGAATTACCCTCAAACCATACCCATACATACCCCAAAAACTCTATTCTCACAATCATCCCGACGTCCCACAGCCTAAACCCCGAAACCCCAACCCAAAAATCCATTGCGGGGCTCGTCCTTGCTAAGTAGGAGGAAAAAGCCAAACATGCCAAACGCCACAGTGGCTTGGAGACCAGCCCCCCCGGTTCGATCCGTCCCTGCCAAGGCGTTGCCAAAAAATGTGAGGGTTCAGGGCGTTCATTTTGGGATATCGGCTCCCTAAACCCTAAAACCCCAAAGCCCTCAACCCTAAACCCTAAACCTGAGACCGGAACCCTAAGCCCAAAGACCTGGCTTATAGGGCTATAGGGTTTATGATGTTTATGTATGGCTTGGGATTTAGAAGACCGCCTTCAAACCCTAAGGCCGAGAAGCCATGGCTGAGATCTTTGACGGATTCTGGCTTTGGGGATTTAGGGGCTCCAGACAGAACGAGAGGTTTCCATCAGGTTTTCGAAACATGCCGTTTTCTACATGGCTATGGTTTTGCTAAGACTTTAGCACAAGACCCGAACAATCACCGCATCCATCGGAGTTGCTACAGCGTCTAGACTTACGAACAGCGGATGCTTTCTTGAGTGAAGTTTCCCTGGGCAGCATCCTGGATCTCCTCCTCCGAAGTCAATTCAGGGGTTGAGCCTGGGGACGCTGTTGAATTTGTTCAAGAGTTTGAATCAAAATAAGCCTGCCGGATCCTGGGAAGCCCCCGCAACCCAGCCAAGCCTTGCAAGTGCCCGCCAGGCTTTCCGAGATAGGCTACGAAGAGGTAGCCTCCGAAGTCATGCAGGAGCATGGGGTTTGGAGTTTAGCTTTATGGCGGCTGCGAGTCAGAGCCACCAGGAGAGGGATTTTTGGCCTGCAGTCTCGTCCTGTTCTCGTGCCAGCCACGCCGGGAGGCCGTTCTGTAAGGCTTCCTACCCTAAGTTAAAGTATATGATGGTATATTCCGGATAAGGGAGTGCAATGCCTCACGTTCGGATTCAAGGTCGGTCGGGGACGAAGTGGCACCAAGACAGGTGAAAAGAAAGGAGAGGACACCAGACGACAATGATGGTCACAGAGAGAGCTCTGTTGATGCCAATCCCCGAAGCTTCAGATTTCGATGCTCAACATGTTCAAAATCAGCCGATCAACCACCCCTCGGTGAGGAGTGTGCCTCCCTCGCCGCTGCCTTGGTTCAGTCTTGGACTGCTTGCGCCTTGCAATGGGTTGAGCCGCCTGAAGGTATGGGAATCGATACGCAACTGCATGCAGATACAGGTGGCTTTCTTCCAGACATGTATGAGGATGCGTACGTGCAAAGGTATGCATGCAAAGGTGTATATGCGCGTGTTTGAATGACATGCGGCGAAGTTGTCTTCCTCCGTTGCTGCTTCGAAAGTGAAGTGCCGCATCGCAAAAGCTAATACAACAGAACCATGGCAAAAATGAAGTCTAGTTTGAAAGAGAAGGAGCTTAAGCCGTGAAGCTTTTGTCCTTGCGGCCATCAATGGTGTCCGTTTCCGGTTCCGAATCCCCACAGCGAAGCGACCCTGGACACAAACAGTCCGATGCTAGAACCTCAACACTCAATGACACTCAAGGCCAGGCGTCATAGTCCTATATTATAAGGTGTGTCAACTCAAAACCTTGAAGTTTGGGGTTTAACTTCCGCTATACTCTAAACTTTAAACCCTACCGTTCAGGTCCACCTCGTGGATTTGGATGCGGCCCGAGGTCTTCAGCTGGCTGCCCTCTGAAAAGTTTCGGAAAACCCACTTCGACTTCGGGATTCTTCTGACAAGGAGCCTGTTATTTGGGCCTAGACCCTATACACCCTAAGCCCTGCACTTACTTAGGGCTCTATCGGAGGGGAGTAGAGATCCTAGGCTCTGCGACCTCAGGGCCTCGCCGGGTTCGAAAAAGTCGAGTTCAGAGTTTCTAAGGGCCGAAGGCTTCTCTGTTTAGCGTGTGGAGTTTAGGGTTTAGGGTAGGTCACCGAGTTGAGGTATCTGAGGTAAGTCTTGACAGCAACTTGCCGACAGCCAGGTCTGAAGAACTAGGGTAGAACTGACAGAGTCGTAACATCAGACGCTGTGTGGGCTTCAAAGCCTCAGCCGTCAACCCTGAACCCGTTTCTTGTCATTTGCTTTTGCAGATTCCAGTTCGGTTATGTATCCTATCTAGCCTCGCTGTGAGATTCGATCTTTGCACTGCGAGACGGAAGTAAAAAGGCGAAGCTTATAGGACCATGCAGGCCACCGTGCAGGCCACGAAGCTTCTTCTAACACTTGAGGCTTCCATGGCACCCTCAATCGCACACTGAGGGCCCGAGCTTAGAAGCAGTCGCAATTTTGCGGGGGGATGGAAGAGGGGGGGTCTGAAGTATTAATCATACCAAGCTTTGGGACCCCGAAATCAGACCATGAGCGAAGCCCTGAAGCCCCGAGACATAGATCCCTGGCCCTAACCCCTCAACCCTAGGACCCCAAAGACCGAACAGGCTTTGAGTTTCAGTTTTCCAGTTCGGATCCCGATGACCCCGCAGGCCTGCCGGCCATCTCGCACACTTTCTCGTCCGGGCCTTGGCTATCGAAGGCCTCACGTGCCCCAGATGCCCCGTGAGTAGAGCCGCCCACCCTGATGATTCAGGTTATGTAGTAGACGCTCATTAAACACTGAACTACGCCAATAAGGCTTGAAAGCTCAAGCTTCAAGTCTGCTCATGCACCGGGACGCTAGGAGCGCTACCTTCAGGCCTGCCATGCCAAGGCCCGACTGCATCTATGAGTTCATGGAGCAGCTTCGGGCCGCCCACGGCTTCACGCACTCAGAGCGGGTCCCGATCTCGGATAGCTCTTGCGATCGTGTGTTTGAGGGGAACTGAGGAGATGCTACATGGATGCGCCACATCAGAAGGTCTCGCAGGTGTTCGGAACTGCTTCTAAGCCAGCCGAGAGGCATCGCAGCCGTCTAAGCAATGGCATCGATTCCCACGATCTTCGCCACGGAGTGGGCAGATGCCAGGTTGGCCATAAGACTCACAATGCTCAACACGAGCTGGCAGAGGGTCATGGTTGAGTGGCTAGAAGTACAGACGTCCGTCGATCTCAGAAACGCATGCGATGCCGAACTGACCTCTGTAAGTCGTTTGTGCCCAAAGCTGGAGTCCTTGGACATCAGTGACAGCGAGGCGCTGACATCATCGGCTGTTGTGGATGCCCTTCGAAGGTGCCCAAACCTGAAAACCTTAATTGCATGGGGTTCCAACCCGGCGCAAACTCTGCGCGGTTGGCGAGCAATCCAGGAGGCCAAGCCAGATCTCGCGGTAGTCGGACGCCAAGCCCGCTTGGTGATTCGGGTTCGTGCACCCAACCTGGGCTGGGATCGGGAGGTACGGTTCGATGTGAGAGAGGGTTTGCCGCTGGGTAAACTGATGGAAACATGGTGCAGCCGCTTTGGGATCTCGTCATCGCAGGTTCGTTTCCTGTCGGACGGCGAGCGCATCTCCCCAAGCGACACCTGTGCTTCCTTGGGTCTAAAAGATGGCGACGAGCTGGATGCAGTTCTTGAGCAAATGAACATAGGCCAGTGGCAAGCGCTCGACGTCCCGGAAGCTTCTATGACGCAGCTTGACCGACTTCTACATGGCAAGTTAGAGCCGCATCAGGTTGCCAAGGAGACGGTCCTTTCCATAGCTCGCTCGGTTCTTGCCCCGGCTGCATCACCCCGGTTGCAAACGATGAACTCGGTGCAAGGCGAAGTGGCTCTCCCGTGGAAATCCTGTAAAGTTCTGGATCGTGATCAATGCAAGAAGCTCGTGGAGTGGACAGAAAGCTCCTTCGAGCGGGGGCAAGATGTTCATGACTTCCAGCTGCGGCTCACGGCTGCCCAGCTGGATCAGCTGACCTGTGACAACACCAGCAGGACTCTCACTGCCTGCGCGGAGAGTGTACTGAATGGGCAGGAGGTGGGCGCATAGCCCAAACATGCCCAAAACAGCATCTTGGGCAAAAGAATTGGCCATCCCAAGCAAAATCAACCCCGTCGCCAGGTGGCCCCGCCCTATTTCATCCTGCGTCGGCATGCCGCCAGTGACAGACAACGGCTTCGAATACCTTTCCATCGAGACTACAGCCTCGCAGTGGTCAACGTGAGCTTGACTCTTGTCATGAGGTTATGCAGAGTGTTTTTGTAAGAGTAGTATTAGCTACTATTATGAACTACCAAGACTACCAAACTGTCAGTACCAGTATCATTGTTCATGTTTGTCTAGTGTTGAATGTTTGTGGTGCTACTTACTGGCTGGAAAATAGATTGACTCCAGCGGCATTTATTGTTTAGATCCCGGCTGCTCAGAGCAGTGGAGGTGTAGAGGGAATCGCAACAAGTGGAACGAGTAGGCACATGCAGGTCGCAAAACGTAAGCAGAAGTGAGAGCACGTTTTAGCAAAGAAATCCATGACAGAACCATAGGTTTGGGGCATGATCGATGTTGCTTTGGTAAGCAAGGACGAGGCTACTTGCATTTGTATGCTTGCTGTCAGGAATTCGGAGTACACCGGCGGAAAGCTCATGTTTGTGGATGGTGCTCGTCTCATATGCCCAGAACGAAAACCTGGCTGCGCCACCGCGCACAATCAGACTGCCATCCATGGCGTTTCCAGCATAACAGCTGGAGTGCGATACAACCTTTTGGCAGCTTTCGATTCAGCAGAGTAGCGCAGAGCACAGGTGAATTCCTGTCACTTGTTCCGCACAAAGCATGGCCAGAGCAGCGGCAACTGGCAAAGGCCGTGGGCGCAATGCACAGGCTCTCCTTACGTTTGGCCCGCCAAAGCTGTCGAGCCATACCCACTCTGGCTCCTATTCCAATAAGACGAAAGCATACGGAGCACAGAACGAACCAAACAATGCGCAAGGCGTGGGCTGCTATGCAAAACCGCAGCGGCAGCACGGAACCGGGGACTGTTGTGTACGCTAGCCCGCTAGCCAACAGATAGCAGGTGTATATCATGACAAGCTTGTGTATCCTGTAATACCTACAGGGTGACAGAAGTGCAGCTAATAATTACAGGAACCAATGGCACGGACTTCTCATTCCAATCTTCTAAACTCCAAGCTACAGAATAGCTCAGAGGCTTGGATGCTCATGGGGGAGATTCGATGTGTGGCTCTGTGCATTGAATGCAAGACTTGGATGAGAATTCCGAAAACCCCCAAACCCACACAAGCTCTGACCCCAAGGCCCCCTAAACCCAAACTCCCTAAATCCCAACCCCTTAAGGCTCCCCCCCACAGCCCGGACAAAAACTCAGGTGGACATGCTCGAGTCCTTCCATCGCTTCCAGGGTGAAAAGGACCCCTTAGATGCTCAGGGGTATAGGGTTAGTAAGGCTTTAATTCAGGGATTAAGGGTACAGGGTCTGTAAGGTTTTAGGGTTCATAAAGGCTTGAGGTTGCGACTGCGAGCATCGTGCCGGTAGTTGCATTTGCTTTGCTGCTGTTTTAGTCATTGGCAGTTTCAGTTGCAGTGGCTACGGATCAGTCTCGTGAGAGAGCGTGAGCTTGATCACGGAGGACTGGGGGAGAGGTTCGAGTCGTTTTGCGTGGGAAACAAAAACGAAGGATAACACCATCGAAGCCGTGAGTGCGAGTTGCAGTAGGAAAGGAAAAACAGTAGTATGTGATAGTTGATAATGCTTGGTCTAACAACAGCACCTCGTAAGTCCGCAGAAAGAAAACCGTGGCGACCGAATGGAAGCCTCAAGCCTTTCTAGGCGTAGAAAACTTTCACGACCGGGGTGAACGGTGAACAGTCACGAACAGAAAGACACCAAGAGTAACGATACTCATGGCAGTCAGGGTAACAGTCATAGTCCTAGCCATATAGTCATATAAGAACATTACCATATATCCGTCTCTTAAGCATGAAAATGTGATGGCTAAGGCCCCTATGACAGGCCCCATGAGCCGCAGGAGTCCTGTAGCAGTTTCGACCACGACTGTGACACGGCACGTTCAGGCGAGCCCAGGGCGTTGCCAACAGCTGGGTGGTTGAGTTTTTTCTGCAAAGACTTACCGTTAAGGGTTCAGCGCCAGCTTGGGGGTTTAGAACCAGCTTAGAGTTGAAGACTAGTTTATAGGTTTATGCCGAACCGAAGCTTTTGGGTTCAACGGGGTGGTTGGAGGCACAGTTGGAGGGCTCCAGGGTTTATCGATAACTTCATCGGCCAAAGGGGCAGGGGCTCTGAACACCATGGTACTAGCCCTTTCTTTAGGGATGTCCGGTTGTCAGATTCTGAGTGTTCAGCTTCCCAGATGCTTCTTCGCCTGCCTATCACAGAATTCAGAATGGCAGGCGAGCGGGGGACCGCTGGATCCGTATCTGCCACTCGCGTTTAAACCTCTGCAGAAAGGTACACCCTATATGGTTGCTGATAAATCTTGCATGACCTTAAGGACCCTAAACTAAACTATGGGAATTGTGGTATATTCCTCATTATGGGTCATGCAGGATTATATCATCAACCCTAGACTCGCACATGCTGCGAGTCCACGATTGGCTCTTGAAGCCTTTTGAGGCTTGGGCTTTGGGAGCTCCCCGGTTCATTTGAGGGTTTAGGGTTTAAGGTTTGGTGTTTTAGGGTCGAGGCTTCTCTTGTATGAATGGGGAGTCGCAGAAGGGCCAGTTGTGAAAGGGTTCTGTCGTGTGAAGGTTTGCTTGAGGCGTACATCAAGGTAGATCCTACTTCTTGCTCCGCAGGCTCCACGATCTCTGAGTCCGAAGCCTTCGTGCCTTGGCTGGCATGCGGCATGCGTACATAACATGCCATGTGAGCCTTTCAGCTTCAGAACAGGAGAGATAATTACCGACATATTCCTTCTAGTCCTTAGGGCTCTTTATTATATATACGAATACCGAAATATGCCGCCCAACCCTATTCCAGCTACAATGAGGCTCCTATGTTAGGCCCGGCTCAAAAGTTGTCATTGCAGCACAGGTTCCGATCGGGCCATTTGTGGATTTAAGGGTTTAGGGTCCTTAGGTCCTTCTCTTCAGGCATCATACAAAAGCGGAGTTCTCCCTAACATTCCCCTCAACCGCTCACTCATGCCCCTGTATCCACCTCCCTACATTAATCGAAAAGCGGTTTTTTGTTGAGCTGTTGGTTTCTGAAGTTGATGTGAACCCCACCATGTCTGACAGTTCAGAACCAGGAGATGCGTAGTCAGGTTCTTCTAGTGACCCCTAGATGGCAAACAATTGAAGGATCTGCACATCACGGTGATGCAGCTCTTTTGCGCCCTGCGCTGGCCGCGGCGCTCGGTGGGTGTTCGGGGTTTGCAGAGCAGCACCAGCTATATCATTTCTACCTAGAGGGCCTGTACTGTAGGAGATCTTGTGCGGAATACAACGCAACACTCGTTGGTTGGGGTTTAGGGGTCAACATGCTGCGGCTGCTACGTGCAGGCACGGCTGTCGCTTTAAATCCTGCGCTTTATGGTTTAAGGTGCATATATGGTTGACATCAACAGTACGTCTTTGAAGCTGTAGCCGATATTCGGCCAACCTGAAAGTTTCCAAACAACATCCAGCAACCACGCAGGTCTAGATATAGGCTTCACTGTTAGGTTGCTTCTGTCTGGCCCGTAAAAGACATGATCCCGGTCACCAGGCCTTCGCTGCCCAGCATGCCATGATTGAACATCCTTGAACAGTCTGTGCTCAAAGCCTCTAATAGTTTAGGGCTTGAGCTTTAGGGCTTAGGTGCAATGCAAACCCGAAGAGGCGCAGCGGACCTGTGATCTGAGGGCAAGAATGCATGTCCTGCCCTTGAACGGCAATCCAAATTCACCACCTACTGTGGTATGTCGTAGTATACTACAGTATATACTATGCTGACATGAGGGAATGTGGCAATACATGATAGTACACGATAGTATACTAGTCAACTTGAGGCTGGGTTACCCGGCGGAGCTTTGGCAGGCTCCAGCCTCAAACGAGACCTGCCTCTTTGGACACAGGGTTCAGGGGATTCAGGGCTTCTGCGTCGGAGCTGGGTTGAGGTTGCTTCTTCGGAGTAACTATGTAACGGTTTAGGGTTTAGGGCTTTGTCCGGATGTCCCGGGGACCATGCAACTATAGACATCCTGCCGTAAATCAGAGGCTCTGGGGGGTCCTAGCCTAGCAGAAGTTAAGCCCAAGGTCTTTTCAGCCCCTCCCCCCAAAGAGCTGAGTTCGACAATCCTCCTGAGCCCCAATCCGATTGCTGCACAGTTCGAGTAGAGGGTCTCAAATTCGTCAGGCTCAGAGTTCTTTTTGGAGATTTTACAGTTCCCCAGGGAGATTGGGGAAACACGACTCGGATCTGCATACTTTCGCACACATGTTACTACAGGGTTCTGAAGTATAGACCTAGAATTCTACCAGCAGTACGAAATGTCCCAAAGCCTTACTCCAATGTTGAGGACCCTGTGCTACTCGCAGACCGGAAAAAAAGCACTTCGATGAGGTTCAGGAGCTGCTGGACAGTATGGAGCTTACCGGCGCAGAGCTTCGGGAGGCACGGATTTCTGTTTGCCTTTTGCTGGATTCTGAGCTTTATTGTGAGCGTTCCATAGGATGCTTGTAAGGGGTTCAGTGCGGCAGGTTTGTCGGGTTTGCCGTAGTTCTGTTTGTCTTAGGATTGAGGTGAGGGCTCGGAACGGCCAAGGCGGCGCAGTGTAGAGGTTCACAGCTTGGGGCTTCTGTCATACTCGTTCGCAAGAGTTGTCGAGCAGAGTATCCACAAGAGGAGGCTGTGCTCATTTTTCTTTTCCCGCTACATAAGGTCATGCTGTGGACCTCCACTCACACCCTGACATACCTGACCTGAAAACCCCTGAGGGCTGCCACGCCTAGGCCAAACATGAGAGCTCCACCTTAACATTCACAAAATCATTCCTCCGTACTCCCCACGGGGTCGTATGGTGACACCTCCCAACATCCGAAATCTCTGCGGCTCAAAGGGAACCTAATAAGAGCTTTAGGAGTGTAGGATTTCCCTGCTTGGTTGGCCCCAGGAGGAGTTTATCAGGATCATGGCCGTCGTGAATCCTGGCTGCAGCTTCAAAGTGACAACTAGAACAGGGCTTTTTGGATATACTCCAAAATTATATAGCGGCTAAAATGGAGTAGTGTTGTTTAAAGTATTCCGACCCCTCACAGTGCGTACTGACGTTGTCCGGCGCTTTTGCCAAGCAGCTTCTCTCGGGATTCAGGTGTATTGTCGCAGGGGTGGGGATGAAGTAGGGATAAGAAAAAGTATCCGAAACCCCTAGACCCTAAACCCTAAGCCCTTTTACCCTAAACCCTAAACCCTGCAATGCGGGCTCGTCCTTGCTATGTAGGAGGGAATAAAAGCCCTTACTGTAGTGCGATTGCGAACCGAGGGACCTCGTCTGCCTGAGTCGATTTGTGTTCACGGACACGCAGACGGGGCTTCTGTAAGTCAAGGTGATTGGAGCTTCCGACACGAAGCTGATAGGCCAGCTTGAGGATTGAGGCTTATGCCAAACCTCCTTAACGCATGCCCGATTGTCCTGAACGAAACGCGGCCTTATGGCTCCACCCCGTTCCAGACGACCTCAAAGCCTTCAAGCTTTGAGCCCTAAAGTCCGGGAAAGAGTTCAGCCTGAAGGGTTCAGCAAGGAATCCGAAGTAGAGTGTGTACCAGGGC